GAGAGAGGAGAGAGAGGAGAGAGGAGAGAGGAGAGAGAGGAGAGAGAGAGGAGAGAGAGGAGAGATAAGAGAGAGAGACAGAAGAAGATAGAGGCGGAGAGGGAGACTGAGAGAGACGGAGAAAGACGGAGAAAGGGATAGGGACAGTAAGAGAGACGGAGAGAGAAAGGGAGAGGGAAGAAGAAAGAGAGATGGAGGGTAGGACGTTTGTCGGGTTCTGCTAGTATTTACTACATTATAGCAAGCAAGTAAATTATTAAAATAAGTAAATACTATTGGACTTTTCTTTAAAGTAACTTCTTGCATTATTTTATTTTAAAAGACACTTGAATATTATTATTATTATTATTATTATTATTATTATTATTATTATTATTATTATTTGATAGGTAATCATTACAAACGAATTAGATTACTTGATCCTATGTGGCTAGGCCGAAGGCCTTTAAGCCATTACAATACCTACATCCTTTCGCGTTCTAATCTTTCGAATTCCGGTATTCACCCCAAAATGGTCTCTCCATCGTACCAAAGCCGCGGAAAAGAGACCACAAGGTACGGCTCGTACGTACAATTGAATATAGGCAGCTGATGTAAGTATTTTTGGAAATAAGTTGGAATTTTGGAAAAGCAGGTGACCTAGAGCGCAATGAACTTTGGGGAACGCAGCGAATTAAAAGGCAAAACTTTCAGAACTTCTTAAAAGTTTCAAATCAGAATAGAAGTAACGAAAATATAAAATGTTCCAAAAAGATCTTGGTGACAGAAAAAGCGAACGTTTTTCGAAAATCGAAAGACTGGACTGTCTAAAAAGGACATAGATGGGTGATATATTCCGAACCCACAACATATGCAAGCATCTGCTGGGAATTTATTGTGTTTTTGGGAGAGTGATGTATTGGGAGAAAGAAATACGGCATTTAATAGGATGTGTGGAAATATGAAATGGTGAGCCCAGCTGATGGAACTTCAGGATGAAATGATGGATGGGACGGATTAAGTGAGCCGACGCCAACACTATCACGTTCAGGAAAGTGAACATTCCGCAGACATTACCCGCGCGTATGGAATACATTTATAAGAAGGCCAAGTAATGTACTGTAATTTTAGTAAAGCTTGAAACAATGTACATTGCCATCAAAATTAGAATGTGCCCGGTATGAATGAGAATAGTGTAAATATTTCTGTCATTAGGTGTTAATGTTATATTTAGATTATTTTGTTATTGTGTAGAAGGTTTGGTTTTCCTTGTTTTTGTGTAATGGCTTTATGGGCAGCGTCACAGAGGAAAGTGGCGACGGCGAAGATTAACGCCACCGAATAAACAATAGTACGGAATACATAGTTGAATAATGTCTAAGTTTGTTTTTGATTCGTAGACAAAGAAAGATAATTTCCCCTCCCATTACCAATAACATGATGAGAGTATCATTTTCCCCATCTTGTACAAGAGGGAATTTCAGTCCCCCTACCCAATACATATTTCCGGTGGCAACGTCACTCGTGCCGAAAATATTATTATTGTAAGATTTGTTAAACAGAGTTTGGGTCTGAAGTGAATTCATAATAGATGTAAGGAAATTATTCTAGAGTGGATAGAAGCAAGACGGGACTGTCACACATGTTACTACGAAAATGTCTTATATTTTTTCTTTCTGTGATTGAACTAAATTTTCCTTCGTCATATTTCACTCCCTCTTTGAATTTGAATTGTAATGTTTCGGTTTTGTATCATAAAAGCAGATCATTTATACTCACTTGAGACTACTGCTTGCCCGAAGTGCTCCAGAGTTTTCATGTTTGTGCCGGCAGGCATGTGGCTCGCTATCACTGGCAGCATCGTCTACAAAGCAAACGTTATATCATCGCAGCACAATATTGGAAAAGCAAAAGGACTGGCACTTTGAAGGATGCAGATATATTTTTTGCCCGAACAAAAGGTAGGACGTGATTTATTTTTTCAATAGAAGAGTTATTATGCGTTTATTTGAATATTCTAAAAAGTACCTTCGTAAAGGGAAGAAAGCAAAAATGCAATGTTAGATATTTTTGAGAACGTTCAAGAAAATATTATTTTTCATGAAAAAAATGTAAGCTGTTTACATGGGTTATAACACTGCTCTACTTAAAGATGATGTGTGGCTTCACAATCTGAGAGAAACATTTTTAATCGTAGAACTACCCCAGTCACCGAATCGTAGGCCCTCTCTTGTGAATGTTATGTTGTGAGAAATATTGGTAGGCTGTGAGTGTGTTCAAAGAATATTTATATGGTTCAATAATCAATCTTGCATTATTTGACGAAATGCACTATATTCAAAGAATATTTATATGGCCCATTAACCGTTTATGCAGAATAACACATCCGAACTTCTCGACGCTCGTTTACTGTGTTCAGAGAACTTTGAACTATTCAGCTCTCCTCGCTATACGAAAGGCATTCGAAGAGTTCCGGGAATTGCCTTGCCGTCGCCAAACTAGCGATAAGACTAGGTTCATAAACTTGTGGTAGACGGCCGGGGATGTTCGCAAAATTGATCTGGACATGTTTCGGTGTCGCTGCTCCGTGTCTCGAGGTGAGTGTTAGTCCGTCGGAGAAACGTCGCAGTTCGAACAGCGCGCAAACCTCAAGTTGCTCTTCAAACTGGTAAATTGGCTTCAGAGACTGTCTCGGCCCATAGCAAGTTTACTTAGCACGAAATAAAACAGCAGCCTTGGGCTGTTCACCGACATCCTGGAGGTGAAACTACAGTCATCGGAGTGGCACAGACCAGTGGCACGCAGTCAAAAAAATCACGCCTCCTCAGATCCAGAGTCAGTGATTGCCATTACCTTCTTTAATATCGACAGTTTGGTGCATGGTGATATCATTACCGCCTGAACAGTCTGTTTCTGAAAATGTCTACGACAAAGTTTTGCAGTTTGCGTTCTGCATCACGATAACGCGCCAAGCCACACATCGCTAGTAGAAAGTCCCCGCCGAGAACATTCCCTGCCTTTAGCAACCACTGCTCTCTCCAGATCCCGCACTGGGTGGCTATTGTCTCTTCCCTAATCTGAAAATGGTGCTCAAAGGAAGACGTTTTGCAACCGTGGAGAACAAATCGAATTTGACGCTCAGCTCCGACAGGAGCCGAAAGAAGCATTCTAACGCTGCTTCCTACAATGGCAGGAAAGATGGAGCAAGTGTATAGGTGCACAAGGGTCCTACTTCGAAAGTGAATAGGTTGCTATTGTTGTAGGTTGTAACCTTAACATACTAAATCAGCATTTCACGAACTTTTTGAACGCCCCTCGTATTAGTGAATAGGTCATTAGTACATTTTTTGTTCAAAAAAAGGAAGAATAAGTAATTTAAAGTGCTAGAGTTAAAAAGCTGGTGGTTTTATTTCAGCCTTTTCCTTAGCATTTATTAGGTGTAATAGAAACAGCACCTGTGTGTCCTACAATTCAGAATGCATAATTAAAAGAAGTAACACTTGATAAAATAAAGATGTAAACTTGAACATACTGAATTCAGTTCTTCAGGATCGTAACCAGCAATGAAGAAAACAATATTTTTGCATACAACTTGTGATGGAACTCCGTCTCGACAGAAAGTCTGGCCAAGCCATTTCATTAGCTTATTACTTGGTAGGACTTCATCATAACCCACCAAATCGGTAATAAACTGAAAGAAAAAAAGACATGTAATTATTTGTTTAGAAATCTGAGTGTAACAAAAATTGGAATGAAAATGCCGCATTCTCAGTACAAATTTAGTAGTTGTATTTTAATCAGTTTAATTTTTACATTTCTGTTCAGGGAAAGTAAGGTATGATAACACTTTACTTATTAACTTTTCGTCAATAAAAGTGCAAAAATTTCAAACATATCTATAAAATAATTTCCTGCGTCCCCGCGATTGTATCGAAAAGTTGTAACATCTGAAGTACGATATAAACTTATATTTTTCCTTATTATTATTATTATTATTATTATTATTATTATTATTATTATTACTATTATTATTATTATTATTATTATTATTATTATTATTATTTATGGTTTAAAGATAAGCTGCCTCAGCTTTTCTTACATGACATGACAAAATTAAGAAGTACAGCAATGGGTGACCCATATTGGAAATATGCCGCAAGATAGACTTCCAGTACAAGCCCTGAATTATATGCTGAGAGGAAAGTGAAATATTGGAAGGCCATGAACAAGATAGAAAAAGGGCTGGAACAGGCAATATGGCTAATCCGTAAAGGAAGAAGATGATGCGATAAGCAGCCAAAAAAGATGTTTCGGTTAGAACGTCACCATAAGCATTAAAGAATTAAAAACTGGCCGGGTTGCTATAAAATGTGGTACTACTGATTCATCTGGTGGTACAATTTGTAATTTCGCGGCGCGCAATTCCGTTTCATAGTTTGAGAGGGGGAGGGTCCTCTTGCACGTTTGTGCTGGAAGTCGGCGCTGCGCGAACGCCAGAGTTTGGACGCTTCGTGAGCATTTGGGTGCATGGTGACATCATTACCGGCTGGACAGTGTTTCTGAAAATGTCTATGACGAAGTTTTGCAATTTGCGTGATGCGATTTGAAGCAGTGACGGACCACGTGGCAAGGGAAATTTTGTCTGTATCACGATAACGCGCCAAGCCACACATCGCTAGTTTTGTAGAAATTCCCCGCCGAGAACATTCCCATCTTTTATCAACGACTGTTCTCTCCAGATTCCGCACTGAGTGGCTATTGCCTGTTCCCTAATCTGAAAATGGTGCTCCAAGTAAGACGTTTTGCAACCGTGGAGATCTGCTCGACTCGATAATAATTATTTCACCTGGTAGACACTTCAGGGTCTCCTTAGAATTGCTTCGGGGGACGCTGACGCTACTTTTAGGACCTATTTCCTAACAGGTTCTGCATGAATGTGATAAATGGAGTTTCGAAATGAAAAAATAGTATTAAGAAAATTAAATTTTGGTTTACTATTCATTATAATGAATTGCTAGAGTGGGATTGTGATTTTTTGTCCCGTCATTTTTGACGGTAGGCCCTAGTACAGTTATACCAGAGAATAGTAGAAGTTCAGTGCATGAAGGAAGATTGTTCTTAATGACATAATATAACATTATTATGTTATACCAAATTTTGTTTTCTATATGCACTTTAGTTTATTGAAAGGTCATATATTTTAAAGATTTATTAATACTAGTAATACATGATTATTTATTTAATGTATTTAACGTAAAAAGGTAAATTTAATTTTTAAATAGTTAAAAAGAATTAAAATCGCTAGTTGTATTTTAATTCAAACATTAAATTATTTTGTACTTGTCAAGTATTGAGTATTGTGAAGGACAAAAGTGCAAATATTTTTGATAAAAAGTGCATCACATAGAAAGTACTCTAAAGCGCTTGTTTATAATATCACAATATTTTTCAATACGTCTAGTCTCTGGAAATGATTAATTAGTCTAAACTTACCTCGATTGGTCTGTGAGCGTAGGTTAGCGCTCGTAATAGTGGATTGGGTAAATGGCCTAAATATGCCGCAGGCCCCATAGCAAACATCGCACGAAATTTACTATTGTAGTCTGGTTTTCTAGATAACATAATCCAGAAGAGAGTAGTCCCCATGGAATGGCCTATGTAGAATATCTTTTCCTGTCCTGTTTTTTCCAGCACATAGTCGATGGAAGCGGGCAAGTCGTAAGTGCCCATTTCTTGCCATTCAAAATCCCAAAATTTTGAGTTAAAAATTCCATCAGGACTGTATTTAATGTGGCGGCGGCTGTAAGTGTTTCCGCGAACATTGCCCATCCACACATCATATCCGGCGTCAGCTAGAACGTACGCTAGAAACAGAATGAGTTAGATTTTAGCTACGGGATTCGTCAGGCACAATACGTGGGATAAATGGACACAGATTATTCAAAAGTCTGAGAAGTGCAAAACATTGTGTATTTAGGATACTATTGGTGCTACAGAATGGCACAGACTTTCCCATATTCGTTTTCTATTTCCTTTGTCCTCGGCTAGCTATTCGAACTTGCCACATACTCTTTTGTCTGCTGCAATCTATCTCCGAACAAAGTACATTTTTTTAAAAGTTTACTTAACTTTTCGTTTCCTAAAAGTTGAACGGATATACTATTTTAAGAATATTAAAGAACAGTAAAACCTCGTCCTAAATGGCAATGTTATGCGAAAACAGTTCAGCGTTTTTAAGAAAATGGCGCTTAAGCGTTACAGTAAATTCGAAATATGAAGCACTTTATTCCAGAAAATGTTTGGGTTTCCAAAAAACTTAATTTGAAATACTTTAACTCACAAATGCAATAGTGTTTAGAAATTTTCTATTTTACTACTTACTACTAGAAATATATAAGCGAGGCATGAAAGAGGTAGAATCTTTACTTGAGGAAGAAGTATGGAAAGCCCTAAAATGTTAACAAAATGTTAAAGCGGAGGGACCAGGTGGAATTACCATGGATTTGTGGAAGTATAGTGGACAGAAGATGATTAATAGTGGACAGAAGATGATTAGAGTAGTGACCAAACTGTTCAATCAGATATTATTTATGGACGATTTACCAACTGAATGGAATATATCATATATTTCGGCTATTCACAAGAAGAGAAGTAAGAAAGAAATGAACAATTATCGGAGTATAAGTGTAATGGCATCAATTGGAAGACTCTTGAGCAAAATAGTGAAGAATAGATTGGAGGCTAAGGTGTCCAAGAAAGTCTCAGAACAACAAGCTGGTTTTACAGAAGGGAATTCCTGCACAGATAACATTTTTATATTAAGACAAATGTGTGAGAAAATGAGTCGGAAGGGAAGAGAGCTTCATATAGTTTTTATTGACCTGGAGAAAGCATATGACAGTGCCTATACATGAATTGTGGAGGGCACTACAAAATTTTAAAATTGAAGAATTGCTCTTTCAACACATAAAGAAAATGTATGTAGATACCCGAGCCGTGGTAAAAATCGAAAATAGAATTTCTGAGGAATTTAAAACTACTAAAGGTTTAAGGCAGGGATGAATGTCTCCTACTCTTTTTAAAATGTATTTAGAAGAGGTGCTTAAAGGTCGGAATGCTTCATGTTAAAGAATGGGCGTTGTTGTAAGCGGACAAGCAATACATTCACTATTTGCGGATGATCTGGTAATATTGGCTCAAGATAGAGATGATGCAGGATATATATGACCCGGAAAATAGTAGAGGCATATGTACAGGGTGGGCTTAATTTAAATCTGAAAAAAAAACAGATTATCTGATAGTAGGAGGAGAAGGCACTGATTTGGAATTACAAGGAGTAGGAAGGAGTAAGTTCGTTGAACAATTCAAATATTTGGGTACAATCCTGCATACGTCTGGAAATTGTAAAAAGGATATTGATCACCGCATTAGAAAAAGGCCAGAGGAGCTATAAGAATGCTGAATGGGGTACTATGGAGACGGGAAATCCATGTGAGAACAAAAAAGATTATTGTACGAACTATTATTGAAAGTATGGAATGTAAACCAACTCTCTCCACCTATGGTCGAGAGAGTTGGGTCTTGACGGAACGCCAGAAACAGAAATTATGTGCCGTAGAAATGGATGGATTAAGAAGCAGCTGCCGAATTTCTAGAATGGAAAAAATTAGAAACGTAGAAATTCGGAAACGGATGCAGCAATCGGAATCGGTGGTGGATAGATTAGAAAGTAAAATGCTACAATGGTATGGCCACCTGAGAAGAATGTCAGATACAAGGTGGCCCAAGAATGTCCTCGACTAGTCTCCTCCAGGAAGAAAAAAATGAGGAAGGTCTCTCTAAACCTGGAATACCGGAGTAATGGAAGCTATGCGTGAAAGAATGGACCAAGACCGTTTGTCGGATAGAGAAGGCTGAAACCGCAAAATAAGAGGCAACCGCTGACAATTGCAAACGACGATAAAAAGTAAATTTACAAATTGCTGGAAATGTGCATATTACCGGCGTCAGAGATCTTTCAGAAAATATTACATGTGTGTAATTTTTGAAAAAACAAAAGAATGGAGTATATGACGTTTATGTGACTTCTTAGTGCATTCAGCAGAATGCCTAACAGAAATTTAAGGAAAATATTTGGTCCTATGTTTTTGAGAAAATTTTGTTTTTAAATTTTTTTTTTAAATTGCACAAATTGTACTCAATACATACGAGGCATGTTTTTTAAGTAAGTACCGTTTTGGAATTAAAAAAAGACGTGCGAAGATATCGCAATACTTTTATTTTTACATGAAAGCCTGTACCATAATCTACTTTTCTACATATTTTTCGTCAATATTGAGGCACTTGTCATAACGTGGCACCAGTTTTTGAATACCCTCCTCATAAAATTCTGCCGCCTCACTTGTTAACCACTGTATCACAACTGTTTTGACTTCGTTATCGTCAAGACGCAGACCGCCCAGGTGTTTCTTCAAGTGCAGGAACAAATGGTAGTCGCTGGGTGCCAGATCAGGGCTGTACGGAGGATGGTCTAGAGTTTCCCATTGAAAAGATTTGATGAGATCTTTGGTCCGATTAGCTACATGTGAACGGGCATTGTCATGCAGCAAAACGATACCCTTACTCAACTTGCCACGTCTTTTGTTCTGGATTGCACGGTGCAGATTGTTCAATGTCTCACAATAAGACGCTGTATTGATTGTCTCATTACGAGGCAGAAACTCCACAAGCAATACTCCTTTTCTGTCCCAAAAAACTGTGCACATGATTTTCCGGGCAGAAATTGTTTGCTTAAACTTGTCACCATTCCATAGACTGCTGTTTTGATTCTGGTGTGATGTAGGCCACCCATGTTTCGTCACCAGTAACAATTTGGCCTAAAAAATCTTCACCTTCATTGCGATACTGCTCAAGAAAAGTCAATGCACTGCCTAAACGTTGGGTTTTGTGCAAATCTGACAACATTTTCGGAACCCAATGTGAACACAATTGACGGTAATTAAGTTCTCGGTCACAATGCGATACAAAACACTACGAGTAACTTGAGGAAAGTAGTCGCACAATGATGAAATTGTAAAGCGTCTGTTTTCTCTCAACTTTACGTCCACTTTCTGCACCAAATCTTCATTAACGACCGTAGGACGCCCACTCCGTTTTTCATCATGCACATTTGTCACACATGCGACCATCTTTAAATGCTCCCACACATTTCCTTACCATTCCATCACTCATAACGTTTTGTCCGTAAACTTCACAGATCTCACGATGAATATCGACCGGGTTTATGCCATGAGCACTAAGGAATCGTATAACAGGCCGTACTTCACGATTGTCGGAGGCATCTTAAACACTCAGTAAACAACGTATACAACGAAGAATCAGACTGTAATGGAGTTAGTGCGTAGACAAGAGATTTAGATAACTTGCGCGCATGCGCGGAACGCCGACCGTAGCGCTGCGGCGGCGGAATCGCAAAACGGTACTTACTTAAAAAACATATATATATATATATATA